GTTGTAATGCAATTTGCGTTTCCAAGCATAAACTATAGCTGAGGCCAAGGCAGAAGAAGAATGATCAAAATTCCTATCTTCGGGATGCCGCTTGCCAAAAGCGACTGCACGAGACATCGCGAAGCAGCCACAGGCGTAAACCTAAGGCAAAGATTTACGCCGCTCAGGTCGAAACACTCCAGGCAAAGGATGCCCGTTTCGTTTTTTACAAACTCCACGCAACCAAGTCGCATGCAAATCAGGCACGCCAGCTGAAGTAGCCCCATGGCACAGCTAGCGCAGGCAGCGTTTGCTAACCAGACCTAATTGAGCCCCAGCTTTGAAACGCGCGAGAAAACGTCCATTGAAATATCAGGCCCCGAGTGTTCGCGCAGGTAGGACGCACCTGCGCGTTCTGCAGAGGGCCCGTGCAGCTGTACCTGGTACCGCAGCAGGCCACTGTCACTATTGATGCTGGGGCACAGAGCAAGCGCGCGACTGCAAGGTGAGCTAGGGTTCGCGCGCCTGCAAGTGCTTTGTTCCAAGCACCTTTTGTTTTCGTTCGTGTGCGCGCATGTGTGTAGCACGCTAGCGTGTCCGCCAGAAAGCACACAGGCTTACGCCCTAGCTCAGCCATTATATTCCTGGAAAAAACTAGGCACAAGATTCTTCAGGGCCTCTGCCAGCTCGGGCGCCGTGCGCAAGTGATTGACCTCCGTGAAGCTGTGGTTCCACCAAGCATATTGGCTCCGGCCAGTGTTCGTGTAATTCTGCACCGGGCCGATGTCCCTGGGCGGTTTAAGCTGCAAGTACACGTCGAGCGTAATCAAGCTACACTAATGCACGCGCCCATGGTTTTGGTTAAACACAGCCTAGCTGCTTCTGCCAAACCGTTGATATAGCGTCAAACACCGTACTGTAGGGCTCGGTTTTGGGCCTGACCCTCCGGGCAAAGACGGCCGCGGGAGCAGCTGACTGCCCCTTGTTGGGCAGGGCCTTGGGTTGAGGCAGTTCCTTGGCCTTGGTCTTGGGCAGGTTCTTGGTTTTGGGCAGTCCTTTGGCCTTGGGCTGCCCCTGGCCGGTGGCCTTCTTCTGGGCCTCCTCCGGATCAAAGTGCGTGATGCTTGCATGGAGGACAGTTAACAGCAGTCCTGCGTGCAGGGGTCCAAGAACCCCCGCTCGCCATCCAGGGCTGTCTCCACTTCGCTCTCGTCGTCGAGTTGGATTGGGTCCTTGGACTCAAGTTATAGACATGTTAGGCGTTTGAGCAGTGAGAATTGAAATTGAAAGGTGCGATTTATTCGGAATCGCACATTTCAATTAAGTTCGAGACACGCAATTTAAAGAAGCCCAGGTTTTTGGAATGGCTTGCGCTGATTGAAAGGCACACTTCGTCCGCCTTTCAATTGTTGATATTCGAAAGTGCCAACTGAAAATCTAATGGCACTTTCGAATTTGTTTTCGGGGATTCAAGAGTGCTATTGAGCATGGCACTTTTGAATTCGACTTAACTGCGGGTTTGCCTTGCAGGCTTCAAAAGTGCTATTCCAAGTTGCAAATTGCACTTTTGAAGTTTCAGTGTTCAAGTGAGGCACGGTGCCAAAAATCTGCCGGCAAATGTTGTCATACTTCCGCTTTTTCTCCTCAGCAAACACATAGACTTCCCGACCTGCTTGGCTGTCACGCGCCTCCAGGATCTGGGCCTGGTCCTTCTGGTTGACGGCAGGCGGCGCAGGCGCTGCTGAAGACGATGCAGCCTCCGAGCCGCGGCTCCGAGGGTGCAGTCTCGGTCCTGGGGCAGTGCGCAGGGGAGCTGTCCGGAAAAACTATACACAATATTGTATACCACGTTCGCTGCGCTAGTTGAATCCTAGGATCGGCTCGGGCTCAGCCTTGTCAGCGCTGGCTGCTTTGCTTTCAGAATTCGGCCTCCAAATCCTAGGTTTTGCTGGCTACTCATCACACGCATATATGGTTGGAAAATTGCAATCAGGCAGCAAATCTTTCAGCTTCTCTATCTTCACACTGTTGGCAGCCCTTAGGCGCGGCATCAGTTGCTTGACACACAGATCAGCCAGCTGAAAAAACGCGCGCGCTCAAAATAAGCTGCGGCCTAGGCACTGCGTGCGGCGATGCAATGATCGAATCCGCGCGCACGCGCGTTTCAATAAGCTTGCAACTAGTGCAGCATCGCTCCCAGACATAGCAGCATTTTTCCCGCGCATGACCTCAGTAGCCAAAAATCAAAATGGAGGCCTGTTATACGCTTCGCGCTCGCAAAGTGCTAAGGCAAGGTCCGCTGCCTCAAAAATTCTGGGAGCCGGTGTCTTCAGAAGGCGAAGCTTACCTTGGACTCAAGAAAAGCTTCAAAATTCTCGATGAACTACGTGTGCGCGAGGTTCGGCTTTTTTGCATGCCCATGCCAGCGCAGTGCAGCCGAGAAGCCAAACACCCCGAGACACTCGGCAGTCAGCTCGTAGAGCTGGAGCTCGATGAAGGACAGCGGCACGGCCACCTTCACGTCCAAAAAATTTGACAGCCTTCAGCAAGTCCAGCAGCACCTGAGAAATGACGCGCTTACCTCATAGAGTTCGAGCCAAGCAAACTAAGGGTCACGCTGGTTGCGCCTGATAGCATAGGAGCCAAAGCATCAGCGAGCGTCTTTACAACTTTGACCTGCGCCAGCCGATCGACACATGTGCGATATAGCACGTGCGTGCTTATAACTGAGCCGCCTCGTCTTCGGTGTCGCAGTCTGAAGGAGAAGCCATGGCAGCAAACTACAAGCTAACAGCGTAATAGTTCGCTTCTTGTACAGAACTCTTTCCCATTTGTAAGTTTTTCAGTGGTTGACCTAGCAAAATATAAAATAGCTGGCTTGGCTGTACTGCTGCGTAGAAACTTACTCGCTACTGCGCGCCCAGCTAGTTAAACTGCCCCGCCGGGAAGGGACCCTTTGAAAGGCGATCGGCCTTCCCAGCGCGAAGCGCTCTCTGTGCAGCCACCACCACCTCTGGCAGGTCTATTCGCCCCGGAGGAAGCTGGCCTGGCCGAAGGGGCTGCGAGCTGCTGCTAGTACTGCTGGCGCTGGTTGCGGCTGCGAGGGCTGCTAGGGCCTCACTAAGCGCCAGCTCCAGGTTTGCGATCCGATGCTCGTAGTGAATCTCTTTCAGCTGTCGCTTCCGCTTGCGTTCCTGGCGCGCAAGAGCCTTTTTTCGTTTTAACCACGCGTTGTGCCGTTCACGCGCTGTGTTTTCGCTTAAGGTCTCTTCCTCCTCCTGCAGGTCCTCGTCTGCGTCTGCTTTCGGCTTGGTCTTCAGGTCCTTGTCTGCGTCCGAGTTGCTGCTGCTCTCGCTCGCTTCGCTTTTTACTTCCACCTCCTTTCCGTGTATTTGTTGCTTTGCCGGCATGCGCTCTACCCGAACTATACGCACTGTCGATCGAGCCATAAGCGCGCAACAACTCAAACTGCAGCATGCTCACGCGTGACATGCATGTGTGTGTGCACAATATATAGGGCACGCTGCGTTGCCAGCAGCTTAAGCCGGGCAGACAGGCCCATGCGTTTTCGCATGCCTGCGCTAGATTGAGCCAACGGCCGCCACGCTGATATGAAGGGGCCTCGAACGTGGCAAGTCCTACCTTTCAGTTGTGTGAAGCTGAAAGGTAGAACTGCAATTGCATCGCGCCACGCTGAGAACTGAAAAGGAAAGCCGAAAGGCAGCAATTGGGCGATTCTACCTTTCAATTGGTACTGAAAAGAATTGAATCGCGCGATTCTACCTTTCAATTGAATGTTATATTGAAAGGTAGAATTGAATTGCGCTACTCTACTTTTCAGTTAGATGAATTGAAAGGTTAGAATGGAAATCCGTCTTTCCACTTTCTTTACTAGGGGCGAAACTGAGAGGTAGAACTGAATTGCCGTATTCTACCTTTCAGTTATATTTTCCGAAGGGTGAAACTGAAATGCATCATTCCACGTTTTAGTGGGACAAAACTGAAAGGTAGAATTGAATTGCGGGATTCTACCTTTCAGTTGAATGAACTGAAAGGTAGAATTGGTTTGGAGAATTCTGCTTTTCAATTGAGACGAAACTGAAAGGTAGAATTGAATTGCGGCATTCTACCTTTCAGTTGAATGAACTGAAAGGTGGAATTGGTTTAGAGAATTCTGCTTTTCAGTTGAGACGAAACTGAAAGGTAGAATTGGATTGCGGCATTCTGCGGTTCAGATAAATGAACTGAAATGTAGACTAGGACCTGCGGGATTCTACCTCTCAGCTAGATGAACTGAGGGTACGACTCACAGGGTCCGGAGGGGGGAAAGGTAAAACTTTGTAATTGATGGTGCACGCCCAACTGAAAAGTAGAGCTCAACCAACTCTACCTTTGAGAAGGCCAACGTCAGGACTCATAGAGAGTAGAGAGCAGGAGTTGGGTGGAGTCAAACAGAAATGCCGGACAGTAGATTTCTGCGAGTCATTTGTGCCAAGCTGCTAGGGCAGCTTGTGCAAGTGTGAAAAAATTGCAGTCCCGAGGCCTAGCTGCCAAGCAACGCAACTGAAACGAGTACATGAAATTGGCAAGATCTTGGGCAATATTATTTAAATCTCTGTATATTGTGTCGGTCGGGCTGCTGGGGGAAGTGTTGCAACTGCAAACTGAATCAAAAAGCCGCGCGAGCTGCTAGCCACGCAACAGAAGCCTCAAAAATCAGGCCACTGCAGGCCTGCGGCAAGCGTACATGCAGATTCAATCGTGAAACCTCTACATGAGGAACTCAAAACTTTAAAAAATCGAATAATAATACCGGAAATTTTCCAAACAAGTTGAATCATCGTATTTTTTCCAAACGCACTGTATGATTCAAGTTTTTGGCGCCAAGACCGAGAAAAAAAACGCCTTATGCATCTCCAGGTTGGGCCAAGGTTGTAGTGCAACGCTTTTGCCCAATTTTGACAGTGGCTCTGCCTTTCTAGCCGTTTGAGGGTCGACTCTCAATATTTTTGAAGACTGAGGCAGAGCTCGAAGTGGCTGGTGATACACGGTGCAGTTACCGTTGACCTCTGAAGGCGACTCTGCCTTGGCAACGGAAGCCCCCGGCTCAGAACTGCAACCTAGTGAGAGTTGGACGAAGCTGCAGATGAAACACCGCTCGAGATGAGACGCACCTCTTTGTTTTGCAGTTGGACCATAGCTCTGAGATTGGTGGTCCGTTTCCGGGCGTCAGCGCAATGTCGATAGAAATGCGCAAGCAGCTGGCCTGCCAGGGAGGCAAGAAATCTTGGTATATCCACGCAGAGCAACTCGAATAATATACTCCCCGGATGGCACAGAACCCTGCAGTCAGTGCCAGTCGTCGGACCGAGTCCCGTGATCGGGAACTGCTGAAGGAAAGGCTTGTTGCCAGCCAGCTGCCAGCCGATGCTTGTGCAAATAGTCCATGACGAGTGCGGCTTCGAGGAAGCTACAATCTCCTGCCGTGGTGTTCGGACTTCAGCGCTTGGAGCACTCTTTTTTGGCACAGTTTCCCGCGCTTCAAGTCAGCAACGGTCAAGATTCACTAGTGGCGCGTGGAACTGGGATTTGTCCACCCATGGGGCCCCTTGACTACCATGCTTGATGATGGCTCAGTTGGCAGCACTGAGTTTTGACCGCGGCTCAAATTTCCCATTTCTGAATTATTCACCGAGTGCGCTAGTAAACCACTTTCAAACCGAATCAGTTGATGCAAAGGAGACTAAGGACATGTGAATGGTCTTTCAGCACATCAGTCGGGGTGTTTTGGATTCCTGTTGGTTTCTTTTGAAAGCCACTCAGAAGGCATTCAAGCCCAACGTGCAGCATCGCCAGACGAGAGCTGTAGTCACAGCGGAGTTCTGGGAGGGAGTCACGGTGAAGGAGCGGCGCTTTCGCGAATCATATTGCCTTAGGAAAGAGAAAGATAGAGGCAAAGAGAAGAAGAGAAAGAGAATAGGGAAAAACAGAGAAGGAGAAAGCAAAGGAGAAAAAGCAAGAAAGAGAAGAGACAGAGAAAGATGATGAAAAAGAGAAAGAGTAACAGACCTACAATTTGTAATACATGTATTGTTTTGAAACTTCCGCCCCCGGCTCCTCTGGTATACAACAAGAGTTTGCTCAAGAGCCAAGCAATGCTTCTTGCACTTCCTTTGGAGCCAAACATTGATCACAAAGTGGCGGGAATTTCCCAGCAAGCGCAGAGGATATGTATATATGTATGTCTGTAAGCAATGCAACCCAACGAAACGTAATGTGATGTGATGTGATGCAATGGCCAACAATTTGATGAGTGTGGTATACACAATGGAGCGTCATGTAAATGCAAATGCAAATGTAAATCTCATGTCATTTACTGCAATGGAGCATATTTTAATGCAATGTAATGTGACGCAGTGTAGTGCAATATATTAAAATGTTACACAATGTAATGCAACAAAATGCAATGCAACTCATGCATATTTGCAATGTGTAAATGTCATGTCTGTTTTTAATGTGTTGTAAGTACGTGCTGTGTTGTGATGTGCTGTGCTGCAATGTACACGTATAAGTACGTATTTTTATGCAGCATGTAAAGCATGCGATGTATGCATTGGAGGCCATCTGTGCCATGCAAGTGATGTGTGCAAGTTAATGTAGCGTAACGTAACGAAATGACATGTGGTGTAGTGTAATGTATGAATGTATGTATCTACGTAGGCTTGCGTTCATGTGTATGTAAGGCATGTAGTGTGTGTGTGTGTGTGCGTGTTATATGTGTGGTTTATGTATGAATGCATGCGTGCATGCATGTATGCATGTGTTAATGTGCGTGTATGCCCCGTGTATGTATGTATGTATGTATGTATGTATGTATGTATGTATGTAATGTATGTATGTATGTATGTATGTATGTATGTATGTAATGTATGTAATGTGTGTATGTATGTATGTATGTATGTATGTATGTATGTATGTATGCATGTATGTGTGTATGTATGTATATTTTTATGTATGTAATTATGTATGTATGTATGTATGTATGTATGTATGTATGTATGTATATATGTATAAATGTATGTATGTATGTATGTATGTATTAATGTAATGTAATGCAATGCAATGTATGTAATGTTTGTATGGATGCATGTATGTAATGTATGTATGTATGTATGTATGTATGTATGTATGTATGTATGTAATGTATGTATGTAATGTATGTATGTATGCATGCATGCATGCATGTATGTATGTATGTATGTACTGTATGTATGTATGTATGTATGTATGTATGTATGTATGTAATGTAATGTATATATGTAACGCAATGTAATGTATGTATGTATGTATGTATGTATGTATGTATGTATGTATGTATGTATGTATGTATGTATGTATGTATGTATGTATGTATGTATGTATGTATGTATGTATGTATGTATGTATGTATGTGTATGTATGTATGTATGTATGTATGTATGTATGTATGTATGTATGTATGTATGTATGTATGTATGTATGTATGTATGTATGTATGTAATGTATGTATGTATGTATGTATGTATGTATGTATGTATGTATGTATGTATGTATGTATGTATGTATGTATGTATGTATGTATGTATGTATGTATGTATGTATGTATGTATGTATGTGTATGTATGTATGTATGTATGTAATGTATGTATATGTATGTAATGTATGTATGTATGTATGTATGTAATGTATGTATGTATGTATGTATGTATGTATGTATGTATGTATGTATGTATGTATGTGTATGTATGTAATGTATGTATGTATGTATGTATGTATGTATGTATGTATGTATGTATGTATGTATGTATGTATGTATGTATGTATGTATGTATGTATGTATGTATGTATGTATGTATGTATGTATGTATGTATATGTATGTATGTATGTATGTATGTATGTATGTATGTATGTATGTATGTATGTATGTATGTATGTATGTATGTATGTATGTATGTATGTATGTATGTATGTATGTATGTATGTATGTATGTATGTATGTATGTATGTAATGTATGTAATGTATGTATGTAATGTAATGTATGTAATGTATGTAATGTATGTATGTATGTATGTATCTGTATGTATGTATGTATGTATGTATGTATGTATGTATGTATGTATGTATGTATGTAATGTATGTATTTATGTATGTATGTATGTATGTATGTAATGTATGTATGTATGTAATGTATGTATGTATGTATGTATGTATGTATGTATGTATGTATGTATGTATGTATGTATGGAATGTATGTATGTATGTATGTATGTATGTATGTAATGTATGTATGTATGTATGTATGTATGTATGTATGTATGTATGTATGTATGTATGTATGTATGTATGTATATGTACAATGTAATGTAATGTATGTATGTATGTTATGTATGTATGTATGTAGGTATGTAATGTATGTATGTAATGTAATGTAATGTATGTATGTATGTATGTATGTATGTATGTATGTATGTATGTATGTATGTATGTATGTATGTATGTATGTATGTATGTATGTATGTATGTATGTATGTATGTATGTATGTATGTATGTATGTATGTATGTATGTATGTATGTATGCATGTATGTATGTATGTATGTATGTATGTATGTATGTATGTATGTATGTATGTATGTATGTATGTATGTATGTATGTATGTATGTATGTATGTATGTAATGTATGTATGTATGTATGTATGTATGTATGTATGTATGTATGTATGTATGTGTATGTAATGTATGTATGTAATGTAATGTAATGCAATGTAATGTAATGTATGTATGTATGTATGTATGTATGTATGTATGTATGTATGTATGCTAATGTATGTATGTATGTATGTATGAATGATGTATGTAATGTAACCTATGTATGTATGTATGTATGTATGTATGTATGTATGTATGTATGTATGTATGTATGTATGCATGTATGTATGTATGTATGTATGCAATGTATTGTATGTATGTATGTATGTATGTATGCATGTATGTATGTATGTATGTATGTATGTACGTATGTATGTATGTATGTATGTATGTATGTAATGTATGTATGTATGTAATGTAATGTGCAATGTAATGTAGTGTAATGTAATGTATGTAGTGTATGTAGTGTAACGTAATGTCATGCATGTATGTATGTATGTAGCTAAGTAAGTATTCACGTATGTATGTATGTATGTACGCACGTATGTATGTAATGTATGTATGTATGCATGTATGTATGTATGTGTGCAATGTATGCATTGTATGTATGTATGTATGCATGCATGCATGCATGTATGTATTGTATGTAACGTATGTATGTGTATGTAGTGTAATGTATGTATATATGTAATGTAATGTAATGTAATATAATATAATGTAATGTAATGTATGTAATGTATATATGTATGTATGTATGTATGTATGTATGTATGTATGTATGTATGTATGTTATGTATGTATGTATGTATGTATGTATGTAATGTAATGTATGTATGTATGTATGTATGTATGTATGTAATGAAGGTAGGTATGTATGTAATGTAATGTAATGTAGTGTAATGTATGAATATGTGTAATGTAATGTAATGTAAATGTAATGTAATGTAATGTAATGTACTGTCATGTAATGTAATGTAATGTAATGTCATGTATGTTATGTATGTATGTATGTTATGTATGTATGTATGTATGTATGTATGTATGTAATGTATGTATGTAATGTATGTATGTATTTATGTATGTATGTATGTATGTATGTATGTAATGTATGTATGTATGTATGTATGTATGTATGTATGTATGTATGTATGTGTGTATGTAATGTATGCAATGTATGTATGTATGTATGTATGTATGTATGTATGTAATGTATGTATGTATGTATGTATGTATGTATGTATGTATGTATGTATGTATGTATATATGTATGTATGTATATATGTATGTAACGCATGTATGTATGTAGGTAGGTAGGTATGTATGTATGTATGTGTATGTAGTGTAATGTATGAATATGTGTAATGTAATGTAATGTAAATGTAATGTAATGTAATGTAGTGTAATGTAATGTAATGTATTGTAATGTAATGTAATGCAATGTAATGTATGTATGTATGTATGTATGTATGTAATGTATGTATGTATGTATGTATGTATGTATGTATGTATGTATGTATGTATATATGTATGTAACGCATGTATGTATGTAGGTAGGTAGGTATGTATGTATGTATGTGTATGTAGTGTAATGTATGAATATGTGTAATGTAATGTAATGTAAATGTAATGTAATGTAAGGTAGTGTAGTGTAATGTAATGTAATGTAATGTACTGTAATGTAATGTAATGTAATGTATGTATTTCTGTATCCATGTTATTATGTATGTATGTATGCATGGTGACGGAAAGTAGCGTCGCGTTGTGTAGTGTAGTGCAGTGTGTGGTGTCGTGTGTGTGGTCAATGTAGCGTGATGTGATATCATGTACTGAACGGAACATACCGCAGGGAAATGTAATGTAATAAGGTGTAGCAATGTATGTGTGTGTGAAGCGGAAT